GTAAGAAATAAAAATGTCTAGAGTAACTCAAGACTCTTGTCCACTTGAGAATCTTAAGTCCTGCTCACTAGAACATGCTCCGTCGTGTATAGTGTGTGTGTGTCATAGACGCCTACCCAACAAGGAGCATCTTAGATGAAAAAGATTGTTTTAGTAGCATGTGCTGTTCTAATAATGGCTGCTCTGATTGCCAACTATGGTTTTTAATCCTTTTCCTCTAAATAATTGCTTTTAAAGAATAAAAGTTTCCTACTCTGAGCCCTGTGTCATTAATGACAATGATGCCACGTTTACCACATTGAGCTGGCAGTGACACGCTCTCTGTGGTAGAGAATGCACTGGAATGTGCCACGTGCAAGTCACATTTAAGGAGAGCATAAGATTGCACAGAGGAGACTCAGTAGGGGCTGGTCACTGCTAAAATGACCTCAGCTGGTGTCCTGGTTATGTTCCAGCCTCTGAATCGCTGAGTCTGCACTTGAGGTAGGGAGTTAGGGTCTGAGCTACCAAAGCCCTGCATGCCTCAGAACGCTAGCAAATACCTCAGACGGGGGACGGGCCTCTATCTAGGGTTGGAATTTGGGTTGTGTGCCTTTACAGGCCAGCCATCTCACTAGCCCTGATGTAGTTTTGATACATATGAAAATATGAGAGTATTCGGGTGTTATTTGAAAGTATAGGTCGTAAGGACTGCAACAATACAAATACTAGAGACTATCCTAAAAATCCCAGATCTGCAGCATCCAGATACTTGATCCTGGGATCTATGGTGTGCACTGCCAGGGAAGAGAGTGGACCTAACCACCTTACTTGAAGTAGTTCTAGAATAATGCTAATATTTATTTAAAGAAAATAAAAGATGTAAAGATGTCAGGCAGTGGTGGCACACGCCTTTAGTCTTAGCACAGAAGCAGAGGCAGGAGGATCTCTGAGTTCAAGACCAGCCTGGTCTACAGAGTGATGAGTTAGTTCCAGGACAGCAGGGCTACTCAGAGGAATCCTGAGCTGTGGCTTGATGGGTAAAGGTGCTTGCTGCATAAATCTGGCGACCTCCTGAGCCCACATAAAGTAAGTGAAAGGACAGAACCAAGTCCACAAGACCTTCCTTTGATCTCACATGTGACAGCTATGCTCACACCTACACATCATACTTAAACTAGTTTCACTTAGATTATGAATTTATTTGGACTTAACTGTGGGCACAGGTCAGATTCTAAGACTGGACAGCTAGTTAAAGAGCAGGGAACAAACTGTTAGCGATCCTGTTAACATTTATAAAGTACCCATAGCTTTTTAAGCCTTTATCCTTTATTCATTGGAATAAAATTTTAATCATACCAAGTTTTTAAATGGGAGCCTTATAAAGCTATACTAACACCAGAGGTCACAGTCCAATGTTCTCATGCCACATACTTAAAACAGTTTTTGAACATGTTATTGTATGTGTTCTGTGTTTGATGTATGTCAGTAATGGCATATGCGTGCCGCAGTGTATATGTAGAGGTTAGAGAACAGCTTGGGAGTCAGTTCTCTCCTTCCTCCATGTGGGTAGTCAGTCTGGACAGCGAGTACTTCCATCCCCTGAGCCATCTTGCCAGCCCTGAAGCAGCATAAACAAAAACAGTAAGTACTGGGGTGATAGGCACAGTGGATAAAGTGATTGCGACCCATGTATGATGCTTGAAGTTCCAGAACCAATGTAAAGCCAGACGAGGTAATCACAGTGTTGATATGGTAAAACGGGAGGCCGAGACAGGAATGTTGTGGGATAATCTTTTTGTACGCTGTGAAGATGTGTCTTCTTCCAAGGCACCTTCTAATTGGTTTAGTAAAGAAATGAACAGCCAATCGTTAGGCAGGACTTCAGGCAGAGATAGGAACTCTGGGAAGAAGAGGCAAGATTCACCAGCCCATCATAAAGAAAGTAGGACGTACGAGATGGAGGTGAGGTAGCAAGCCATGAGACAGAATATAGATGAATATATATGGGTTAATTTAAGTTTTAAGAACTAGTTGGGAATATGCCTAAGCTAAAGTCAAGCTTTAATGCTTAATAATAAGTCTCTGTGTCATTATTTAGGAGCTGGTGGTCCAAAGAAAACCTGACTACACAGGAATCCTTCAGAAGCTCAAGGGCTAAGCATCTTAGAGTTCATAGTGGCAAACAACAAAGTCCCTGTGACAGAATGGAAGTCGAGGAGCAATGGCTGAGATTGTCCTCTGACAGCCACATGTTGGCAATAGCACATGCACACTCACAGGATGTACACATAGCAATGCACACTGTTTATTGTGTGTGATCATGCATGTTTGTGTACAGGCATGAGTGTCACTGCATGTGGAGGCAGAGGACAATTTGCAGGAGTGACTCTCCTTCCACCATGCAGATCCTGAGAACTGAACCCAGATCATCAGGCTTGAGGATGAGAGCCTCTATCTGCTGAACGGTCTTTCTGGCCCTCCAACACTGTTGGAAAGTCCAAGTCTCATTTGAGACTCAAAGTAATCTCTGACTATGAGCTTCTATAAAACTAAAAAACGGGAGTGATGGCATGTGCCTTTAACCCTAGCACTCAGGAGGCAGAGGTGGGTAAATCTGAGTCAAGGTCTGTTCTATAGAGTGAGTACCAGGTTCAGGTCAGCCTCGTGGAGTTTCACAAGGAAGTTGGAGAGTTGCTTTAAGATTTTATGTTAGCATTTATAAAGAGGTGGGGACCAGTCCCATGAGGGGCCCACAGTCCCACGAGGGCCAGTGGCAGGCCACCCGAGGCCTCAGCAGGTCCCCTGGCAGGTGGCCTGAGGCCTTGGCAGGAGAGAGACAAATAAGCCATGCAGAGAGAGTTTGGATATAGAATTTATTTAGTGGGTTATGGAGGAAAAGGGGGGGGGAGTGAGGCACAAGTTGCCTTTCTAGAAGAATGGCAAAGAGAGAGAGAGAGAGAGAGAGAGGAAAATGGAGAGGAGTTGGGAGATCCAATTGCTGCAGCAGAACGGGGAGGGGAGGTTGGGAGTGGGCAGAGCTTGTCTCTTAAAGGGACAGGGTACCCAGGTGACAGACCAGGCCAGCATATTACAACACTCTGTATGGGTTCTTTGATATTTTGAATTAAGAATTTGTGGTTCTGGGGCTGGAGAGATGGCTCAGTGATTAATAGCACTTACTGCTCTTCTAGAGGCCCTGAGTTCAATTCCCAGCAACCGCATGGTGGCTCACAACCACCAATGATAAGATCTGGTGCTCACTTCTGGCCTGCAGGCAGAACACTGTATACAAAACAAATAAATCTTAAGAACCCCTATGTGGTGATACTTTGTTTTAAAAAAGAGAGGGGCAGGGGAGGAAGGAAGGAAGAAAGAAAGAAAAAGAAAGAAAGAAACAATTGGCATCATTGAGTATCATATTTCTGGAAGTATTCCCTTACTTCAGCACCCAGAAGCAATGGTCCAGAGAGAGTCTATGTCTACCTCTTATGCTGGCAGCCAAACTTGTTAACAAGTAGGAGTTAGCCAGGTACTGGTTTTGAAGGCTTGAAGGGGTTGTGGAGACTGAGACTTGGCACTCTATGTCGGGGCTGGAGTCCCTGAGCAGAGCCCAGGAGAGGCCATCTGTGAAAGTGTAGACCAAGTACACTTGAGTCCTACCTAGGACTAAAGTGGTCACGAGACAACCTGAGGCTTGGCACCGTGTGATGTGATGTCAGAGTCCCTGAAAAGAGTCCAGAAGAGGGCATCCGTAAAGGTGCAACCCATGCAAAGACCCCAGCATTTTGAAGATGCCAGTACCATGGAACAGCCACAAAGGGCAATAGTGGTGGAGTTGAGCCAGCCTGCACCTAGGAGACATGTTGTGTGTGCTACCAATGACAGAATTGGATAAATGGAGCCCTTTGGAGCACAGAGGACAGTGAGTGACTCTCAGGTGTCTTTGCCTGAACTCTTGTTAGAAATAACCTGAGAACGATACCTTTGTTTTATCTAACCCGAGAACTAGAGATGGAAAATAATGCACTAGACGCCACATAGCTGCTCAGACTCAATTACAGAGCTCTGCATACCTGGCAGAAATCAGGCAGGTCCCTGGGAGGACCTTTCACCAGGTGTTCATATTCCTAATCCAGAGTTCTTTTCATTATCCAGGCTTTCTATTCAGCCCAGTCCTTGACCACCTACCCTGAAGCTCTCCGGTTTGTTGAAATCGAATTGTTTGTATTTCTCTTAAGATGGGTTTTCAATACATCGCTTAGGCTGGCCTCAAGCTCCGGGGTTTGTTCTCTTGCCTCAGCCTCACGGGAAGTTTTCTGTAGACACAGGCTATGGCAGACAGCTTTTTAAGAGGGGGTTCAGCTGCATTTCTCTTTTGTCCTGTCTCACTCCATGCTCTTTGCCAGTCTTTTCAGTCCTGGCTAGGGAACCTCGAGCCTCCTACATGCCAGAAAGCCCTCTACACTGACCTGTCTTCTCTCTTCGGCTTTGCAGAATTTTCAAAGCCGTGGTTTGGGCTGGTGAAATGGCAGGCACTTACTGCTAACCTGGTCGACCTGACTGTGATCTCAGAGAACCAGTCGTGAAGGCTGTCTTCTGACCACCCAACACACACGCACACGTGCATGCACACATACACACTGAATAAACCAAATGCAATTTTAATCAGATAATCCGATAATTAAATAATGTTTTCTTTAAAGATGGGTTCTTCAAATCTGCCTGATCTCTACGAGGGTAGAAATCAGATGTTTTATTCTCAATATATTTCTTTGCATCTTGCAATATTTTACTTCAGAAATTTTGCTTTTTTTTTTTTTTCTGTTACTCACTTGAAGGCCTACAACTCCTAAAGCGATCTTTGAGAATATACTTAGAAGAATGAATTTCATAATCGCACTCTTCCTAACTAACCCCCCCCCCCCCGAAAAGCTAAACACCAAGAAGGATTTAGTTTCAGGTAAATCTTTTATTGTTGCAGAGCCAGTTACATGGTCATCGCCACCGGCGTGTGAACATCTATTTCACAGAGAATATGCTACAAGTCACTCTAGTCACACAGCATTAGCATTCTGGCAAAGATAAAAGGTATTTCCAACTGCATCAAATATTTAATAAATAGTAAGCTCAGCTTTCTGCCTTGGGGTGAATCGGTGGTATCCTTCCGTCTCTCCGACCCCGACTCTCCGACCGTCTCAGCCCCGCTGACTGAACTTTTCCGCTATCTTCTGCAGCTCCAGATCCATGGCAGCCAGGTTCTCCAGTTCTTTTTTCTGGGAAACAGAAAAGTGGAGCGCTGAAGTCAATTCCTACGCTCCAGTTCAGGGAGCTCAAAGGAAAAGGGGGAGGGGAGATTTAGGTATAGTAGAGGCTGCCTGAGTCAGCCAACATCAGGGGTCTTCAAAGTGTGCTCTCCTGATCAGTAGTTTGGGCACCCCAAGCAACTAACTGACCAAGAATGAAGACTCCTGGGTCCCATCCCAAATTACCGTATGAGAAACATGGGGCGGGGTTGGGGGATCAGAAATTCCTGTAACTCTGATATGCTTTCAAGCTGAGAAGCACCATCTGACACGATCAGGTTAGGGAAAGGCACTCTTTGGGCGGCCAGCATGAGCATTGGAACCCCTTGTGGGCACCAGGTGCCTAAGAACTAAGGCTGACTGCGTGCCCAGGCAGCACCTGGCACTCACCAGACAGACTCTCTGGGGCTAGATCCCAGACAGTAGTTTTCCAAGTTCTCTAAGCAAGTTCTCTAAGAGAGACAAGGGCAAGAATGGGCACCATGCTGGCCGGGGGCTGAAAATCAGCCCTGCTGTGTGACCTGGGTACCCACATTTCCCCAGAGCAGTTTCTCCCCATTATCAGCCATGAAGATGCTAATATCAACCTTGATCATCACCATCATCTAATTTTAAGCAAAAGCCTCATACTGTACCTCTTCCTCGGTCAGAATTCTCTGGTCAGCCCTGCCCTTTTCATCTTCTGCCTCCTGGCGAGGCCCCGCCTGCTCCTCCGAGTCGTAGAAGTCCGGAAATTCGGCCGACTTCTTCCTGTAGTGAAGGAGCTGGTCCAGTTCAGCCACTCCGTCATCATACTGCCTTTTGAAGTCCAGATGAGGGGCCCTGTCAAAGCTTCTCTTCTCGTATCCCCAGTTCACATCCTCCGAGAAGGGCCTTTTCTCCCACCACTCGTAATTGTACTCCGGGAAGAAATTCTTCTCAGCCAAGGTCAACCCGTTTCCGTCTTCACCTTCGCGGAAGTTGTCATCTGGGTGGTCTTTTTTCTCAAAATCACTATTCTTCCACTGGAGAGGGTCAAAGTAGGGGTTGAGTAGCACCCCTAACCTCTTCCTCTTTTCAGCGGTGGGATAGGGTGCGTATTGTCTGTCTGGAAACCTCACTTCCTCCCTGCTTTCTTCCGGGTCTAGCAGCTCTTCCTGTTGCCACCATTTCCCTTGGTCCCCTCCCTCACCATAGTTGAGGTAGGTGTTCTCCTGTTCTCGCCATTTGCTTTGTGGATATCTTTTTGCCTTATCTATTGGGCCTTCGTGAACGGGGTAATGTCCTTCACCCAGGAACCTTTTCTCTTCTCTGGTGTCAGGGGCAGAATAGGCACCTGGCTCACCTCCCCGACCTCTGTGTTGGCCTCCCGTTGCTCCCTCATAGCCCCTCCTTTCCTCAGTTTCTTCACGGTGTCTGTTTGCCGTGCTTTCAAGTTCAGAGTTGGCGTGGCTTCTCTGGTACTGTTTTTCCTGGCTCTCCTCACTCTGAGTTCTTGGGGCTCTGTCCTCTTCACTTCCTCTGCCCCCGTACTGTGGTCCCTGGAGGCCCTCGGGAACCTGAAAGCCTGGATAGCTTCTTGTTTCTTCCCCATATTCAGGATCCTCCTCTGAAGGCCTGTAGTGGGTTGGATGGTAGCCCCTCTTTTCCCCGAAACTAGCTGTGGTCACATCTGCCTCCTCCGATTCCTCGGGGCCATGTCTCCTTTCCTCCAATACAGGATGCCCTTCTTGAGAAGACTTGTTGGGCCGGCTTCTCCCATGGTGGTGTCTGGGCCTTCGTTTGGTTACTTCAGAGGTCCCGTCTTCCTCGACTTCCTCAGATTCTTCTTTGCTCTGGTCGTGGTGGCTAAGCTCTTGGGGTTGTTTCTCCTGCCTCCTTGCCTCCTCTCCGCTCTCCTGGCTGCCTTGTTCCCGGCTGTGTGTCTTCTCATAGAGCCCCGCAGAGTGTGTATCTGCTCTGCTCCAGGACTCCTCTTTTTTCTTACCCGTAGTGTCGCTTCTTTTGTTGGAGAAGGTGCTCTGTTTCTCTCCCTGAGCTTCGAGGTATTTCTCTTCGCCAGCATCTTCCCTGTGCTCCCCTTTTGGGTAATTCTTGCCTTCTTCCTCCTTCTCCTCTCCCCCACTGTCTTCCGAATGGTGTATCTTTGCTTCTTTGGACTCTTGTTGGTTGGAGGGAGGGAGGCTTTCCTGGGGCTTATCTACTCCCTCTCGGCTTTGTCCTCCTCCTTCTACCCACTTCTCATTGTCTGTCTTTGTCTGGCCTTGAGTGTCTTCTCCTGGAGCTCCTGTTTCCTCCCTGCTGGAGGACCAGTGGGCTACTGAGGCATCAGCTGGGTCTCTTAGCAACCGTACTTCAAACTTTGAGTTCTCATTTTCACCTTTTTCTTCACCTTGGACCTCTTTCCCACCTGTAATGAAAATATAAACACAACTGCAGACATGCTTGAGCCTCAAGTACTAGCCTCGGTGATCGCGAAAAATCCCGAGGATGCTGGAAAATAGTTCCACAATAGAGGATATATTGAGAAGCTGATGCTATGGAGGTGTTTAGGCTATGTTTAAATCTAATGAGCTCTCTGCAGGTTTAAGTTTTCACAGTACTGACCCAGCATCTCAACTTGTGATTGTCAATGATCAAACTGAAACCCAGATAGAACTTTATGGAAGACTGGAATATAAGAGCCAGAAGAACTTAGAATTCATCTGGTTCAGCCTCCTTGTTTTGCAGGTATAGAAGATATGGAAACTCAGAGGGATATAACTCAGGACCGTTCTATCCATATTTGAGTAAGGTGGAAAAGTTAGCACTGTAGACTTGAATGGCTCTGACTATAATCCCAACTAAAAAACATTAAGTAGCCAATAGTGGGACTATTAAGATTCAAAGGAGGATTTAAAATTTAATTATCAGATTTTGGTATCTAGTCAATTGTGTGGACCCTATCCGGCAGGAAATGACAGCTTAACCTAACTCAGATGTGCGCTGTGTATTTCAACCCACAATGGACTGAGAATTTCACGGTGGTCCCACACCACCATATCATATAATGTCATCATATCATATGAGTCATAACCCTCTTGGTTTCTGCAAATACAATCACTGATATTTGTACAGCAGCAAAAAGGCTTGCTGAGAGCCTTTTCTGCATCATTAAATGATGCATGGCTGTAACCGGTGCTAAGAATGGAAAGGGCCTCTTTCTTTCTTCGCTCGGGTCCCACCCAGTCCACATGTTCGTTGATGCTGCGGATAAGTTTCAGGCCGCGGGGTTGTCTCCACATTTCACAAGTCAGCAGCAGAAGACATAGCTGACATTTTGCTGCGCTCTTCCATCTTTCCCAAATGTCAGTAAGTCCTTACTACATCCTCCCCAAGGACACCCTATGGAAAGAGATGTGGAGAACACGCTGTCTTTGTTATTAGCTGGGAGGGCTTAGGTTTCAACCTCTCTCACCAGTTCAGATAGAAGACCCGAAGCCAAGGTCACTGGCAGCTAAGGGTCAACACCAGCACCACCTGTCATGAGAACCACCAGCTCCCTGTGGCTGTGGAACACTCGAGATACAGCTCAAGCAAACTGAGACCTGAGGCCTGAGACCTCATACAAAACCAGCGAATGTGTTAAAATAACATTTTTATAGATTGGGTAATACTAAATGGATAAAATAGGTACATTAGACAAAATTAGATAGAATGTTGACATTAATTTCACTTGCATTTCTTAAGTATTTTTAAGGTGTCCACTAGAAAATTTGAAATTATATTTGTAGTTCATACTACATTTCTTTTGAACAGCGCTGATGGGCCTTTTTGTTTGTTTTTAGACAGGAGTTGATTACGTGACAAGCGTACCGGGAGCAGATTACATGAGTCATTATGAACTGATATTTACAAAGGACAAAATTTATGTATTTTACAAAACATCAAGAAATTGCAGCTGGGCAGTGGTGGCGCACGCCTTTAATCCCAGCACTCGGGAGGCAGAGGCAGGAGGATCTCTGGGAGTTTGAGAGAACCAGCCTGGTCTACAAGAGCTAGTCCCAGGACAGGCACCAAAGCTACAGAGAAACCTTGTCTCAAAAAAAAAAAAAAAAAAAAACCAAGAAATAAAAAATAAAAATAAATTGCAACTGGTTTGTACCTCTCTATTGAAGCACAGCTTGGCATGATGACAATGTTCTCATGTCTAAAGCTGCAGGTTTGTCTTCTACGGACATCTGAGAAACAGTTCATTGGTCACAGCCCTGTGCCATGTAAGAGACCATGATGATGCCCAGAGGATTATGGGTTCTACATCAGTTTGGGCTACAAAGTGAATTTTAAGACAGCCTAAATAACAAAGCAAAACCTTGTCCCCCCCCCCAAAAAAAAAGGGGAAGGAAGGAAGGAAGGAAGGAAGGAAGGAAGGAAGGAAGGAAGGAAGGAAGGAAAGAAGGAAGGAAGGAAGGAGAGAAAAGGTGGCCCCTTGTATTATATACAGTGCTGGGGCAGGGCTAATCAGGCAGGCATAAGAAAGCAAGGAGGCTTTGGGTGGTACCTTTGACTTCTTGTGCTGCCTTTCCAGATTCTTAAGCTGAAATCCTAAATAACACAATGCTGTGTTAGTTTAGGGAGATGAGCCCCCACGCTGGGAGCAGGGTCCTAACAAGAGGACACAAGAGAAACACAACCTCCCTTCACACAGGAGGACACAGTCAGAAGGTGACCATGTAGCCAAGGAGTGGGAGCTTACCAGGCACCTTGGTCTTGTGCACGAGCTGCTCCTACTGTGAGAAGTTACTGTGTGTTGTCTAAGCCGATGGATCTAGGAGGAGGGCCTGAGGCTCTCACAGTTGACTCAGACAGATGCTCATGTTATTCTCAGAGTCTACTGGAGGACAACAGAGGCCACATGTTCCTCTTCCTACCTGATTTAGGGGGTGAGGTGTCTTGAGTGTCAAGAACAGAAATATTTTTATCTCTTTTGAATTAAATGTGTATTGCCTGTGGCAGCTGGTACCTGGAGCTAAGCACTTAGCCCTAAATTTAGCTCTATGCCCAGCAGGTGAGATTGGAAAAGGGCTGATTAGCCCATGAAGGCTTTGGCACTCTGTAACACTGAAGTGCGCACGCAGCTCACCCTCGCTTCCAGGTTAAAAAGGGAGTACATCTCATCTGTCCTGTTTCAAAGCTGACCAGATCAACCTGGCCAACCCTGGCCAAAGAAAGCTTGTACCTGGTAAGAAACTGAACTTCTCTAAAGTCGCTTTAAGCCAAAAACAAAACAAAACAGAAAAACCAACAACAACAAAAACCCCACAATTCTTCCCTTCTGCCCAAATACTTCTTTGTTTTAAGGAGGGCAGGAGAGTGGGGGTGGAGCCTGGACTTGGGGCGGGACACAGGCCAGGCAGGGCATTTCCTCCACTCAGCTGCACGTGTGAGTCTGCCCGTTGGCTCAGGAGAAAGAAGATGAGGCCAGGAAAGATAAAACTACAACAGGAAAGGATGGTGTGGCCTAGAACTGAGTTCCCTTTGACCTATACTTCAGAGGCAATATTTAAATCAGATGCCACTTTAAACAATCAAGATTTTAAGCAGGGTGGTGGTGGTGCATACCTTTAATCCCAGTACATAGGAGAGAGAGGCAGGAGGATCTCTGTGACTTCCTCTGAAATTTGCAACGTCTAAATAGCAAAATCTGGTAACAGAGAGTGTGCGTAGTCCTCCCTAGAAGATTGAAAGCCAAGCAGCACACGCTCCACTATGAAAGGGCCCTCAAGGCTGCTGGACTGCACTGCTGCCTTAAGAATGGGACCACGCTGCTGCTGCTGCTGCTGCTGCTGCTGCTGCTGCTGCTGCTGCTGCTGCTGCTGCTGCTGCACCGTGGATCCTCGGAAGGGGCCCACACTGCACTGCTTCTCTTCCGCTCTGAGTCTTTCTTGCTTCTTCATGCTTGAGTGATATTTGAAGCTGTAACCCTGCAGGAACCCTTCCATCTTCCTGCCCCTCCTATCTCTATCTGTCCAGTGTCCTTGTTAGAGATCTGAACCAGTTGTTTTGTTCTCGGGTGCAGGATTAACAGACACACAATCAGCAAGCTGGAATTACTATGACTACAGCCTGAGGGCTGAGTACTTGACTTTGGAGGTAAGGAGAGTCTGGCATTTGGTAACACCTCTCATCCCTCTCAGTAATCCTGGATATCAGGTGACCTTCTATGACAGACCTTTCCCTTTCACAAAATTCATCTGACAAATGAGGACAGGGAAAGGTAGCAGCAAAGTACTTCCTGTGATGACTTAGAACTGCTGCCTGTATAAGCAGAAAATAAACTTGAGAAAAACGAACAGCAGCTGGGTGGTGGTAGCGCACGTCTTTAATCCCAGTTCTTGGGAGGCAGAGGCAGGTGGATCTCTGTGAGTTCGAGGCCAGCCTGGTCTACAGAGTGAGTTCCAGGAGAGGCTCCAAAAGCTACAGAAAAAAAAAAAAAACCTGTCTTGAAAAACAAAACAAAAAAAAAAAAAGAGAGAGAGAGAAACACCTTTCCTGGAGTGGTAGGGAAGCTTCCATTCACAGTTTAATGGGGATTCTCATGTCTCAGGACACACCCCCATAACTTTGATGATTCTGAGCAGGGTAAGTTAACCCAGCTTACTCTGAGCCAATTGTCCATGGTTATTGCTGTATCACTTTGTGTACAAACTCCACATGCAGCAGCCACAAGAGTGTCTGTCTTATCATGAAGGATCCAAGAGATAAAAAGAAAGAACTCACTGTTTCCAGCTAGACTAAAAACTCCCAAGCAGTAGGAGGTGTTCACAAGGGCAGCGTTTGTTTGAACTGGTGTGACTTCCCGAATGACAAGAACTGTCTAGTTTTGTAATATCTGGTAACAGTAGATACTGCTTACACCTCTGTTCAAACTTTTGTTTTCCAAAGAAGCAGGCTAGCACAGAGAAAATACTCCACTGGCCTCAGAGAAGTTCTCCAGTACTGACCTCCTCTCAGCTTCCAACCCTTCCTCAGCCACCTCATCTACGCACAAGCAAGCACTTCCCACACCCCTCTCCACCCAAAGGAAGACCTGCTTTACATTTTTTAAAGATAGGAAACCAAGGAATTTAAGAACTGATGGGACAGCTCAAAGACTACAGTCAACTAAAATTCCCTCTTTGAAAAAAATAAGCCTAGAAAAAAAATCACTTTTTTTTTTTTTTAAAAAAAATGATCTTCCCACTATCAGAAAGAAGTAATATGACTCGTCTTTCTAGGTACCACTCTAGTCCATCAACACTAGCTGTAGAATTATACCACAAGGGTGCAATTGCAGGTGAGGCAGAGGCTCCAGGAAAAAGATTCACACAGACACAAAGGTCTTTCTGGACTATGGCACACTTACTCTTCTTCAGGACTTGCCGGCACTCGGGGGTGACAGTTGGAACACTGGACTTGGACAGAGCACTTGAGAGGACTTCAATAATGCAACGAGTCACCTATGAGAAAACATAAGAGGGTGTTGGGAAGCTGGTGTCACAAGAACACAATTCAACCAGGAGCTTCTGTCACAAGAGGCTTGAGTGTGTGCCTAGAACTGATGCAGGACCCTCAGGGTGGGGACACAGGCTGACAGGGCCATGAGGAAGCCTCCCAGGGTACAACATTACAAAATGAAAGAAGTCATTGCCTGGTGATAGCCCAAAGAAGGGAAATAAAGACCTATGTCTAATGCTTACGGGGACATTGCTTCTGTCCTCAGGAGGACTAAACCCTCTGGGAAGAATGTGTGTCCTTACTACAGGAGGGGTATCTCTTGTTTCTAAGAGACAAAACATTGGCTTTGCAAGACAACACAGGGAAGGAGCTGTCAAAGGGAGTGATACAGTCTGGGCTGTACATACAAGTCGAGACTCTAGGCCAACATTTCAACTTACCATTTCTTCATCGTGATTCCTGTTATCCACTGGAGCTGAGCTGACAGCTTTGAAGGAGAAAAATGGAAAATGTCTTGAATTGACTTCTTGGAGGCTTGATGCCAAACTTGCAAAACACCTGCCTTCTTTGAGGGGACTGCAGAATGAATACTAAGCAGAACCCACAGTTGGCATGATGACATTGGTCATCATTTCCGAGTTGCTTGTACACACATGTGCACATGCACAGACTTGTGTGGAGTCACAAACATACACAGCTGTTTCTCCCAGCAATGCCTCAAACACTTGGAAAGGAATGCTGCCTTACAGCCTATATAAATCAAATGCAGACCACAAATGAGGGGGCTTCTTAAATTTTGGCAGCTTACCATGTCTTGTGCTGGTTACACAATTGTCCTATGTTTGTGAAAAAAATTGTTAGGCCATATAAGCACTCTGTGTAGTATCTATGTTCTGTGCTATAATAATTTTTTAAGTTGAAATAGAATCAGGTATCCTCTGTCTTTCCCTCTGTCCACACTGAGTGGCTACAGATCTATGGCCCTATCTGCTATTCCTATTACCAAGGAAATCTCCCCTAAACTCACTTTATAAAAACACAGCTACTAAAGACTAGGCATGGTGATGCACAGCTTTAATCACAGCACTCTAAAGGCAGAGGTAGAAGGATCTTCATGAGTGAATTCAAGACCAGTTCCGTCTACCTAACTTCCAGGACTGCATAGAAAGACACTATCTCAAAAACAAACAAACAACAACAACAACAAAAAACAAAATAAAACAAAAACAACCAACAAAAAGCAACCTCAACAACAGCAACCAAAAACGTGGCTATGGATCCTTGATCACTCAAGACTCTTGCTTAAACAGTTTCTTCTACATTTGTTTCAGTATTATGCTTCCCTGCATTGTATACAATTGTGTAAACACCACTAGAAGTATCAAGTTCTCCAGCCCACTATTATCTAGCTTTTTAGGGTCATTGAAAAAATGTTTGAAAAGTGCCTAACAAGCTATGAGGAGGACCCTAGGTTCTTCCTCGAACACAGGTTAGATAAGACCTGGTAGGTCAACTTTTGGCGCTCAGGGTCGTATGACTGTGGGGGTTCTATTGATGTTTTCCCTTTTCATTAGTGCTGAAGATTGGGACCAGGTCCTCACACAGGACAGATAATCACCTAATCGCCCCCACACTGAACTGCAGCCCCTGCCCTGGGCCAGTCCTTTATGCTCCGAATGACTGCTATTTTGAGAACATCCTCACTTTGGCACTTTATTTTTTTTTCCACCTGAAATCTGTGAGATTCTCTGGAAAGTAACTGTGGAAGAATTACTCCCCTGATGACATAGAAGTCACCCTTTCCCAGTTCAGCCCCAGACCATCTGTAGCAATACCACTCCACAATACAGTTGTCTATTGTTTGCCCCAACGTAAAGTCAGTACTTACCCATACAGCCAAAGTATTAACCCTTGTCAGATTTGATGGTCAAGGGATGCCCTATCGTCCTAGACAATTAACAGTTTACGGCTTACTATTATAGAACATCCCTGTTTCCCCCAGGGAGGCTCCTCTGACTCTTCTTAATAGAAAAAAAAAACTAGGGTTTGCTTATGAAGGCACAGTGTGTACCTTGGTGAGACTGCTAAGTCACACGCATTTCTGTGATAGCAAAGTAATAATTAAAGATATATTGAACTCCCTAAACTGTTTCAACTTATGTTGTAGCAAATAAGAAATAAATTTAACACTTACAAAAAAGTAAAATAATCAAGTGGTAAAAAAAAAAAAATCAATAACAAACCTGGGAATCACTTCTGAAATGTCAGCATCCATAGAACTATACAGTTGCAAAATAAGTTAATCATGTCCTTCTGCTAGTAAACCATGGGCACCCCCAAATTCGACTAAGTTGCAAGTCAAACAAGATCTGCATAGCAAAAAAAATCCTTCTGTGTATGGTAAGGGTATGGATATCCTACAGTTAGTTCATTCATATGAATCTTTAGAGTGCATGATCCATACACAGCTGTGGATCTCCTTCTAGAAGCTCTTAGTGGTAGAAGATGAACGAGATAACTTCCCAAGGGCTCCCTGCCAACCAAGATTTTGCTAAATAACAAACTACTTGGAGTCCCTCATGGCCTGACTTGGGGAAGAGAAATGAGGGGGGGTGATTATTAAGATACGGGGTGTCTTTCTGGGGTGATGAGCATGTACTAAAATTTGGTAGTGGAGACAGTTATTGTCTGTAGATAGCTTATAAACCACTGAGTCGGACACTTTCAAGAGATTGGCTACATAATGTGTGAATTATAGCCTAAAATGTGAGAGGGTACCATAACCCCATTTTAGTCACTATTGAGTATGAGCTTTATCCCTTCATAGGGGGCATGAACATGTTTAACCACCACATTAAGTTACAAAAATATTGCTGTTTTGTAATCTAGAACACAAGGTATAGCACCACTGTGGCCTCTTCAGCAAGGCTTTTCTGAAATACTTTGGACTTTCAGAATTCTGAATTATTCAGTTTGGTTTCTTTAATCACATTGAGAACACGTATTGGCTATTCACAGGAATGATGTTTTTAAAATTGAGAACATTGTGGCTGCAATAAAATAAATTACCTTTGGCTTTCGTTTTTGTCAAGCATTGAATTCCTGTCAATCAAAGGTTTATATTTATAGAGTCAAGCCTAGTTAGGAGTCTCGGTCTCTGAACACAGCACTTTTCTGAGGCCGAAGAGCCAAGGAAAAATGCTAGCTTTATTTGGTGCTGTACTTGCTTATCAGTACCCCAAGGCAAACACACTCTTCAAGTCATCAGAGATCACTGAGTAAAATTAGTGTAATTTGAAATTCAACACCACAATCTTCTACACACAAATCATCATTTATTAACTCCTTCTGTTTTCATCCTCCGAAATTGACTGAAACATTAGTTTACTACTCCGGAGGCACTTTTATAGTTATTACACAGTCTTGTTATTTTTACTTCTAGAGTACAAAATAAATATCCAGTGAGGTTTCCATTCATAAGTTAAAAACCCGTCGGCTTAGGCGTGAATTACCTCTATCTAGATATATAAATACAAAGCATAAATATGTTAGCCCGGTAAACACAGACTCAAACATGACGTGCTGAGGAAAATGCCTTATATGCACACGGGTCTGGTTCTAACGCGGCATCTCTATAATAATAGAGGAAATTCTGCAGGTGCCAACTGCTTGCATTCCCATCCCGCTGCGGCCGCAGTGCTGTCAAGAGTCACACAGAGAGAATCAGACTACAAGGCTCTCTCTAGCCCTGTAGAGAGCTTGACAATTTTGCGGAGAACACAGAAGGCGGCTTTGCTTGCAAGGGCCGCAGAGACCCCGCGGGGAGAGCAGGAAAAGGTTGGGAGGCTCTTGTTTCCCCCCAGCTCACAGCAGTGAGGCAAGGGATACAAGGGAGAAAAGAGGCCAGTCAGGTAGAGGATGAAACCTAGCGTCTCCATCCCCAGGCTCTGGGACCAAGTCCAGTAGCTGTCCGTGGTGCTGAAAGTCACTCACCGGCCAGAGCTGCGGCGCCCAGGAGGCCGAGGAGCACGGCGGTCTGCATGGCTCCTCTCGCCTGCTGTATGCAGAAGGAGCACAGCGGGTGCGGGCTCTGCAGAGCAGCTGTGGCGCGGTGGACGCAAGCCTGGCTCTTATAAAGGGCAGGCGGGGTGCAGCGCCCGGGGGCGAGCGGCAAGCGGGGGCGCCCCTTGCTCAGCCCTGACGTCACGGAGCAGCCCCGGGGCGGTGCCAGCGGGCGGAACTTCAGCCAGTGAGCGTGGCCCTGCGCTGGGTCCAGCAGGCGCAGGCGGGGATGCGGGGATGCCAGGTGTTGTTTGTCCCAGGCAAGGAGGGGCAAGGGTCCAACTCGGATTGCACGGCGCCTGCGCTCCAGCTCCCCCTCACACATCTTAGAGCCTGCAGAGGCGAGGTTGAGACTGTGGATACGTGTGATTCTGATGTGTGTACACGACGAGGACAGCGTTGTGTCTCCTCTGCCCAGCTAGGAAGATCCTTGCTTGGGACACACAGGCGGTTCTTACGCCTTTACAAGAGAATCATGGCTGTAAACCTAGAGTGTGCAGCTAGGAATCTATAACCTGCTCTTGATCCAGATGTTAGGTCCGTATATCTGCGTTCCCATCTATGCCTCTGTCTTCCATTAGTGGACACCTCCCACCCCACAAACATAGCTTATTCAGATGGGCTTTAAAAAAAAATCAGTAGCCGGGCAGTGGTGGCGTACACCTTTAATCCCAGCACTGGGGGGGGGGGGGGGGCACAGGCAGGCGGATCTCTGTGAGTTGGAGGCCAGCCTGGTCTACAAGAGCTAGTTCCAGGACAGGCTCCAAAAGCTACAAAAAAAACCCTGTCTCGAAAAACAAAACAAAACAAAAAATCAGACAGACCAAAAGGAAGCTCTGTAAAATTATCTCTCTATTTTAACTGCAGTTTCTAAGTTCAGTTCCCTCTGTAAGCACTTTCTGTGGCTTAGGCCTAATTTAGTTTAGAACATATATGTAACTGGCACTATTCCTCTCTCACTCCCCTTTTCCCTCAGCCCTCTTCCTATTCCTCTTGGATGGCCACACTGTGTTGCACTGAATGGGTATATTGGTATTTTACTAGCTCTTCCTGATAGACATTTATTTTATTACTCCCCGCCCCCTTTTGGCCTTTAGTTACTCCTTTATAACATGGGCATAGCTGGAGGCCAGAGTATGGATATGAAGTAACCATGTTGTAGGAACTAGTAAATCCTTGAAAACCTGTTCATCTTGATTGGGGGAGGGGGAGGGAAAGGGGAGGCGGCGGTGGGGAAGAGACAGAAATCTTTAATAAATAAATAAAAAAAAGAAAACCTGTTCATCTTTGCCTACTTTTAAATTGCGATAGCAATGCATTTTTAAGCTATGTGTGCAAGGGAGGTGATAACATCTTCCAGATTATTTTTTGACATGGATTCTGTTAGCCTAATAAGGAATCAGGAGAAAGCACAGGCAAACCTCCTGCCCAGAAGAGCTACAATCTGCTCTGATAACAGATTCTGAGGAACAGTGATCTCCTCGGTTAGGTGATGAAGCTGTCTACTGACAGAACCAAAAAGGGATTTCCAGTTCCTTTTCCTGAAGAGTCTCAAATTCTTCTTGCATGTGCTGAATATATAGATAGATGCATCTTCCTGGAAGATTATTTTTATCAAGACCGCAGCTATAGAATATATGCTTTTAAATTGTTATTTGTGTTTTTCTGCATTGGCAGAGAGAAGATAGGGCCATGGGCATGCAGGTGAACACCCTACCACAGTTCTATATCATCAACCCCAGAAGATCAGAATTGTCTTGAAAATTATATTTCCGAGACAACTGGTAAAACTTGAAAAGGCGTAAAGATCACACGACCCTACTGTTTTGTGGTGGGAGAAGAAACTGGAGAAACCAACATCAAGACTGATATGTGAGGGTCTGGGGATTTGGCTCAGCAGGGAGTGTTTGCCATGCTGATACAGGGCCCCAGACCTAAGTACCCACCCTACCCCAGACTCAGTGATGGCAATGTCATTCAGGCTAAAAACCCCAGCACATAGACAGTACCACCGCCAAAACTAAAGCACAGGCCTAATCCATCCAAGTCCATGGTTCTGGGAAAGTCTCTAAATGTCTTAATCTCTTACTTTCTGGCTTCTGTAGTTCCACTTCTGGCTAAATTATTGTTAACTGAAGGATGTCAACCCAGAACATGGTTTTTGTGCTTAAAAGTTCACCCAGAGAAAGGCTTGGGGCTACATTGGGATCCTGAACACCCAGTGTGGTCCCCAGTCATCTAATAAAGACTTTCTATTGGCTTAAAGCCATGTCTGAGCAGTCTTCTCTAGTGAATAAACCACAACAATACAAGCCTGCTCACTGGAATTCAAACCCAGTTAAAGGTGGAGGGGAAGAATCAATTCTGCAAGGCTGTCCTCCGACCTCCACTCATGCACCTCACTACACACACACACACACACACACACACACACACACGAAACAAAACAGGGGGCTAGAGAGATGGCTCAATGGTTAAGAGCACTTGCTGCACTTCCAGAGGAACCAGGTTCAATTCCCAGCACCCACTTTGCGGATAACAATATACTATCTGTAACTTCAACTCCAAGGAATCTGACCCCTCTTCTGGACCCCTTGGGAACTGCACAAATGTACACAGACACATGTGCAGGCAAAACATCCATCCACATAAAAGTAAATAAATCAGAAAAATTTTAAAAGTGAAATGAGAACATGAGAGATGCTTATTGACAAAGACAGACTGGAAACTCTTGCCCCCCCCCCAGGCTACACAGGGGATGTGTGAGAAGAGACAGCATGTTACACTAGAGAGGCCAGTGCTGTGTAAATGACCTGCAAAAGCCCCAAGTCTTGTGACCCAGGACTTTTTGACCAGATGCTTTTCCCAGTTCATTACACCATTTCCATTTTCAGGAGTGGCTTTTTTTCCCCCTGTCAAAACAGGGTTTCTTTGTGTAACAGCCCTGGCCATCCTGGAACTCACACTATAGACCAGGCTGGCCTCGAACTCACAGAGATCTGCCTGCCTCTGCCTCCCGAGTGCTGGGATTAAAGGCATGCACCACCACCACCCAGCTCAGGAGTGGCTTTTTACAAATTTATTAAAGCATTTACTTATTGAAACAAGGTCTCACTATGTAGACCAGGCTGACCCAAAACTCACAAATATCCACTTGCTTCTGCCTGCCAAGTTCTAGTTCTGTTTTCAACCATGTGTCACATTTTAGTGGGTCATCCTGCCATGTTCCCTGAACCCCCACCACCGTGACCTGTACCTATAGCTGTGTTGGTAATTCTTTGCTGATGTTGAGAAAGGCCCTTGAATATTCAAAAAATGTTCTTTGTTTTTAGAAAAGGCATATCAAGATTTCAAGTCTCAAATTTTGAGGAAAAATATAAAGAAAAGAGATTTTAAAAAATCACTTAAATATTTTAAAGTTTTTTTAAAAACAGATCTTGCCCAAAGTTTATTTGTAAAAGCAGCATAGGGTTTTGACCATCTGAAAATAGTGTAGGTGTGTCATGCCAGTCCATCTGTCTTCACATTGTCAATAGAAACCTTTCCTATGGGGCTCCACAGGGGCCTGGGCACCTTTGGGAGCCTGAACTGGAGATGTGGCCTCCACCTTGATTTGAGCTTGGACTTTGCTTGGCAAAGTCTACCACCCTTGGCCATGAAGCTTCTAACCCACTTTCCAAACTTAAGATGAACAATAGAAGCAAGACAGCTGAGTTCGTAGCCAGAGCCCTTTGACATTGCCTTGGGCTTCACAGGAACCTTGATGGTGTCTGCACCTGTGCTCACCACCTTCTCACTGATCTGCCTGCATCTTCCTCAGGCCTTTCTTCCTGTGCTTCTTGGCAAAGTGCATGTTCCTCAGGAATGAGGTCGCCTCCTTTAAGAGATTCATATCTTTGTGACCAGGGTTTCTTGATGCCATTTCTGTGTTTGGGATTGGTTGTGTGTGGTGTGGCTCTTGGACTTGGCCATGTCTGAACTGTACCTGTAGTTCCCGAAGCACCTGGCACCAAAAGAGAAAGAAAAGATTTTTTTTTTTAAGACAGGATCTCATTGTGTAGCCCCAACTAGCCTGAGAGTCACTATGGAAACCAGGGTAAGCTAAAACTCACAGAGATCCTCCTGTCTCTGCCTCCCAAGTGCTGATATAAAAAAAATGAGCAACATTATGCCTGGCTAAGTAAAGAAAAACTAATAATAAAATTTGGGCAATTATGATAAACAGTATGCTACAATAGCATACTATTTTTGCATTTTTAATGAAACCTGAAATTCTATCAAAACAGACAAAAATGAATGTTTGTGATTCAAAAGAATTTGCTTAGAATCTCTGTTAAGCAGTGGAGACCGGAAACAGGAGCTGTGCTTGGTGTGGTAGAATTCCAGGCCAGCCTGGGCTAGAAAGAAAAGAGCGCAGGAGGGAGGGAAGGGGCGTCCGTGAGAGGTTCTCTCTGTTGTTGACATTACACAAGGGTTAATACTACTCGGTAAAATGTGCTAACTATCTGTAGTTATTTACAACTGCTATGTTCCTGAAGTATTTGCATCCTGGTTTCCCAATACTTTCCCTTTCTTCTTTTTCCCTAGAAGACCATGATTAAACAATGCTAGAACCCTCTTTTGGCTTCTCGGGGTGGGTCTGGGCTGGGTTTTTGCTTATTAAGACAACCTTGGTGAAGGAACGCTATTTTCATCATTGCCAATTAGTTGGGGGCAAAGGGGCAGCCCTGGCCAACAGCCAGTTTCGACATCCACTTTTCGATTTCTCTGTGCGGGAGTGACGGATGCCGGGAGCAGACTGCCAGCGTGTGCGTTTTTTAGAGACAGAGGGAAGGAGGAACACTAACCAGGAACCAGGGCTAAGACTCTGAGAGAGGGACATGGTCACAGTTTTTAACGATATCGTGGTTTAGCTGCCCTGGGAATCCTGCTTTGAGATGGCCCTTCGTAACTCCCCTACGATTTTACCTTGAAAAAGAAACCAGAGTTTGTGGGTGTGGATATTTCTGTAGACTGCTTGGCCCGGCTGTGCTCCATCCCAGAC